ATTAAAGCTGATTGCAGGGGGATAAATAATACCTACAAATTATTTTAGGTATAATATTATAAATGTGTATAGGTAAATTATTTTTATAATATACCTATAAATGCGTATAGGTAAGTTAATTACCCATAGAAGGATTTACCTTAGTTTGTTGTATATTAATGTATCTAGATTTTGCAAATTCAACAATTTTGAAAATAGCGCACGCAATTCACTGGTATGTGTTGTAAAATAGAAGCATGATTATATTATTATTAATGCCGCATAATTCACTAGTAAATGGTATATATATGAGAAACCTCATGAACAAAGAACCAAGTGGGAGAAAAACGAATCTGAGAAACCTCTGGAAATTTCTTATCTCTGTTAATCTCTGATAATTGTGCAAATGAACAGTGTAGCTCTATTTATAGAATACAACTTACTTACGGACTAGTAATTGCTTAACAAACTAGCCATAATATCATTGTCAAGATGTTTAACGAGAATGGTAAAACATTGTCAAAATAATTAGAACTAGTTAAAATGAAAAAAAACAAAACAAAACGCCTGTTAAAGTAAGTGAACTTTAGATGAATTTTACAAACAAAGACCCCACCCCACTTTGGATTATAAAAGACACCAGTGACTCGGACGGAGATTTGCAAATCATCACTTGGATTTGAGTGGCAACAAAGTGTGAAGTGCAGTTCCTGGCCTATTTATAGGCAGATTATGAAGCAGATAGACACACAAACACACAGAGATAGTAGATATGGAGAATGGTAGGTTTGAGAAAGTGTTAAACGCAAGCGATCTGGAAAGACTTGTGGTCACAACCGCAATGCTTGAAATACTGCCGCCGGTGGATCCTGATCGCGATACCCCTATCAGAGTTTTTGACAACCAAAAACTCAAGACCTATGAGTTCAAGATATCCATCCGTAAGAACGGAAGATATCAAAAAGCAGTTTTGCAATCCCGAGAATGGGGAGTTTTTGTTCGTGATAGAGGCATTGCAGCTGGAGATGTGCTCTATTTCTGGGCGGAGGAAGAGCCTGCTCATCAAACGCAATATCGAATTGCGCTCTACAAGGCAGGTCTTTTCCCTGTTACAGTCACTAATAATTAATTCCAATCAAGTGTTGTAATCAGTTAAT